TTGACAAAACGCCAGCTTAAGCTGATTTTCTTAACCTGTGTGTAGAGCCTTTTGGATAGAAACATCTCTTCTGACGGGTGAGTGTCATGTCCATAACCTATTTCTAGTCACCTGCACTGGACCTGTCTGGAGCTAGTGGTGAAAACACAAGTATCCAGTGTGGCTCCACTTCTTATGAGAGAGACAGGCCTTCCTCATCTGCCTTTGCTACAGCCCCTTAGCTAGCAGCTCTGAGCAGAAATATCTATTTGAAAATGAAGATTTTTTTTTCTTGGTTGAGACTCTTTGAATACTGGTGATTGGCAGAAGACATATTTGGAGTAAGGGTTGTATGGGGTAATACAGATCTGATATAGATACCATGAGGATTTCAGAGCTGCGTGTTACATTGGGTAAACTTGCTCCTGCAAGATGCTATTTTCTGCTCTCCTGTGGGACTGTTGTAAAACCTATATCCACATAAATGTTTTTTCTCCCCTTTGCTTCCATCTGCTTCAAACCAGAGCTTGTTTCAAATGCATTAAACAATTCAGTATCTGCTGGTTCTGAATTTGAGTGGGAAAGAGGATCTTCCAGGATTCTTTTTGTAGCTGATTGATTGATAGAAAAATGTCTGTTGACTTCTTGGTCTTGAGACTGAGAGCCACAAAAGTGGCCCAAAGACCAGTCACTCATGAACCTGCTCTCTAATGCTTCTGTAGGTAGCGTGGCCTCGAACTTGAGATCATTTACAGATCTCACCTGTCCCTAAAACTGAGGGCTCTCTAGGAAGGTCCCTAGCTACGCTGTTAGCTCAGCAGTAGTCTCTCAAGATGGCCATGGGGGGACAACGGGGACAGCAAATGCCAACAAAGGAGGCCGAGCGCTCAGGTGGCAGGTGAGTGAGCCACGAGGGGCACTGCAAGCCCAGGGCCGGCGGAGGGGTGCCCAAGACCCACCTGGCAGCTTGTCCTGCAACTGGAACTGACAGTGCAGCTACAGCCTGCACCTTACAGTTTTCTTATGCAGTAATGCAGATGCAGCTGTTGTGCTGCCGAAAACAGGAAAGGGAAAAAAAAATCAACAAAGCCACAGGAAATGAGCCATGGCTGTCGTGAAAATACAGCTTACTCTCTTACAGTTGCTCTCTTACAGTTTGCAATACCAGCTGCAAACCATACAGGAATCTGTCTGCAAGGAATGATGCTCATAAAAATCTATTGGGATTCCAAATAATATAAGACTTGCAGTAAAAGACGTGGCAATAACATCAACAAAATGGAAGCAGACTTGCTCTAAAAATGCCTCCCTTCCAGCTGATGTTGTCCGTGTGGACACATATAAAACAGCATTAGCTTCCCTCATCTAGAGGAGAGTACGTTTTTACTTCAGATTGTGATCACATAGCCCCTTTTTCTCAGCCCTCCTTGGGATGAATTATTCATCACAACATCACTCAGTGTGAGCCCAAGGGTACTGCCGAATTCATAAGCAGAGTCTTTTTTTCAAACTTGGGGAGAGGAAGTTTATGCTGAAGTTCATCCACCAGTGTACGATCTGGCTGTTGCTGTGTGACAGTTAGTTAGCAAATATTAGGCAAGGAGCAAAGCATCATTTAGTACAGCAGTATTACATTGCTGCCCAGTCGCGTTAGTTATGTCAGAGAAGACCATGAAATTCGAGGTCCTTTCTGTTGCAGATGGATGAGATGTTAAACGCCAAGCCTTCAACAGTGGAAATGCAGCCAGTGCTTCGTGGCCAAGGCAAAGGGGCTGGCACTTGTTAGAACAGTAAAGAAGGGAAGAAAGAGAGAAATTAGGGCTTGATAGCGATCAGCTTCCACAGTCAAAGAAGGTAGTGCTATCTTTAAATATCACAAGAACCTACATCTTTTCAAAAATGATGTGAGTTTTGGAAATGATTTCCGAGTTCTCAAACCTACGTGTTTGGTAGGGTTCATTTTTCACAAGGCAAGTGCCCAGCATTTTTGTAAGCAAGAATTCCTTATAGCTTGTCAGGTGGTAAGGCCTAAACCTTAGGCATCCCCAGTAAGGGATTGCTTTTGAAAAATCCTGTCCATCAAGAACTAAACTGGGTGGGAATAACAGGATCAGCAAATGCTTAGATAATGGAAAAATGAGTCGCATAGCATTAATAGTATTTTACGAACTGTCTCCACACCCATTTCACTGACTTCAGTTCTGGTCTCAAACTGCAGTAGTTTCCAAATGGCAAATCCTTTGAGTTCTGCTATACAGGATGCTTCAGGTCTTAAAGGCATAATTTTGCTAAGAATATGCTACTTATGCTACTTATTCTTTGCTTAAGAATATGCTACATCAAAATGTGCTGCTAGTAGTAGCATTTGAGATCTGTGATCATGGACCAGGAATCTGGTCATAGGGCAGTCTTGCATAAACAGACATGCAGCAGGGCTAGTAGGTGATAGAACACAGTTTGGTTTTCTGGGGTATCTTTCTGGATCTGAGAGACCTGTCTGTACTGGGAAACAGAGCTGTTTCCCTAGGTTGATACCGACACATCTTCCCCCATGCATCAAGAATCTCCTCTCAGGTGCTTATATATGTACTTCTGTAATGTCAGTATCTCTCAACAGGTAAAATACTACTAACAATTGCACAAAGTATTTTTATAAGGCAATTTCTAATACAAATGGGAAATTAATGTTTTCCCCTTAGTGTGGTTTAGCTTCTTTGGCAGTCTGTTGCAGAAGATGTAGAAAATGAGAAGAAAGTAACACTTTAACTATTACTTTAATTGTATTTAATTATTTACATTTTTCAGGGCCTCAGTAGTAGCATATCCCATGCTACTCATCTCATGGTACTTTCACTTGAAGTGTTTGGTCTTAGCATTTCTGAAAATAAGGTCTTGATTCAGTAGAGCAAACAATTTAAGGCTTAATTCCAGGCCTCAGTAATCCAGATCATTAGTCTGTTGAGAATATGGTCTTTGGCAATGGAAAAGCTAAAAATTATTTGATGCATCTCAAGATTCACTTACTATAGAAGTCTTCCAGTTTTGTATTGACCTTTCAGACGTAGGCAAACAGCAGACATACAGTTATCCCACTACAGACACACCGTATTAAAAATGTCGATTTCTGACTGATGACATCCTAATAATAGCAGATCTGCTTGGAAAAAGGATTCAGTGCCCTGTACCAGCAGCTCCCAGGCTGTATTGGATTTAGCCAGTCTAGGAGCAGGCAAGTCCGAGTTAGCCAGGAATATTGGCTTTTTGCTATTGGTCCTAAGTAGAGCTTTGGTCTGCAGTGGTGGGAGGTGTAATCTCCAAGTGCTCTAGTGCTCCTGTGCTTGGAGGCCCTACACATGGATGACTTGGTGCTTAAACCTGAAATATCACTCCGCCTTTTTCTACCTCAGGTTTGCATGTATACATTCTTCAAAAGCTTATTGAAACATTATTTACAAACACAAAGAGATGGCTGAGGTGGTGGTTACGTGTTTTGGTGTGCTCGGTGGCAATCTCAATGGCGATACCTGTTGTAGGTGCTCCCATTCCTATCTCACCCTGTGTCACTGTTTGCAGTTGCCTGTGCCGTGGCTTCCCTTCTGGTTTAGCTCTCTGTGGGGTCAGGCTGCAGACCAGGCTGGGAGGTTGATCCACATGAACAGTGTTTTCAGGCTTTTGCCTTTTTAAATGGGGCAGGGGCAGGTTTGAGCAAGAGAGGCAGAAGTTTCAAGATCTTTTATTTACAAATCATGGGCCGTGTGCCCCTTGCCTCCCTAGAGCCACACTTCTCAATAGCTGAGGCTAATGAAGGGTCATAAATTGCCAGTCAAATACAGGGCACAAATAATTCCTGACTGGTTGAAGGAAGTGTTCTTTGCTCTTAGCTTGCAGTAAATAAAAATAAACAGCCCAAAGACATATGCTTACAGAGCATGTGTAAAAAAAATTAGTTCTGGTTACTAAAAAAAAAATCCTTGCTTGCTGCTTTGAGTAGATATTGGATTGTTTACACAAAAACACCTACATTCTTAATAGGGGCTTTTGAGGATGGTGGTTCTTTTGGCATCGATTCCACTATCTCCACTAACTTGTCTCTCTGTTTTGCAAAATGACTGCAGTAACCGTTGATGTACCCGCGATGGCTGTTTTAGGTGACCCAGGCCTTCTGGCAGCGCTGCAAGTCACAGCCAGGCACCAGAGCCTCACTTTTCTCCAGGCAGACTTTGTCAGTCACTCGCAATAATAAAAGGATAGTGGTACCTCTGACTGACTTCCCTGGCCAAGGAGTTGATATCTTCACTGAAATTCCTGGTACAGAGGAGCCTTTGCACAAAATGCTGCCAAAGCAGAAATCAGAAGTGGTACTGGGGGCCTCATCAGGCGTGTCTAGCAGCTGGCCTGCCAGCTCAGAGCTGGGACATGCTATGATGCCCCTGTCCCTGTTCTTCAGATAAAGTGAGTGCTGTAGGGTTTAGGTGATGAATTCGTCACCATTAATCAGAGTCAAAAGCGTGTGAAAAATAATATATGGGCAAGCTGTTACCATTATTTTGGGATGCTTACTAAAGCAGAGTTTTGGAGATTATACAGTCTTACAGTCTCCTACAGATGAAAAACTCCCCCTAATTTCACTTGGAGGGAATTGCCAACTAAACATCTCTCTGGTCTGCTAGTTCAGTTGTACTTCCCTGCAACTATTTTCTCTAAGGCAATTATAGTTACTAGATTTTTTTTTTAATCATCAGTATCTGGCCAAGTATGTTTCGATCAATAGTCTCAGCTGTTAGGTGTTAGATATCCAGAGGGACACCCCAAGACTGGGGCTGCGGCATTACATGATTTCTGTGGGTGCTTTAATTTGCCTGTTTTGAGGCCAGGTCCTTTTCGTTTTTCAGGCCCTTGCCTTGGGTGCCAAGGCCTGCTTGTGTTCGGAGAAGGAGCGAGAGAGTCACTCAGGTGCTGGCAACAGATGACTGTTGCGGCCCAGGCGCCACCTTCATGTGCTGTGTTTTCCTCTATTACAGCAGTTCAGCTTTGTCTCCCTGCCCACTGATGTCCTGGAGATAGAAGTAAAGGACAAATTTGCGAAGAGCCGACCGATCATCAAGCGCTTCCTCGGAAAACTTTCCATGCCGGTTCAGCGCCTCTTGGAGAGACATGCCATAGGGTAAATTCAGTGCTCCTGCTGCCTTACGTTGTGTGTGGAGGATGCTGCCATTTAGACACAGCGGTTGAAGCCTTTAGTGGTATATAATTATAATGATATGAGGATGTTGTTGAGCAAAAATTATTAAACTGAGAGTGGCATCAAGCATGGTGTTGGTGATCTTAATTAGGATTTATAGAACTATGGGCCAGCCAGTGTATTCACTCTGTAAGGTTATCCAGTGCATTCTGAAACGTGAGAGCTGGCAATTAAGAAATAAATTGTTCTGTATGTATCATGGCGCGAATCTGGAGAGTGCAATATTTTCAATTTGAATATTACCAAATATGTTTCAATGTTATCAACAGGCTATTTTCATGTTTCAGGAAATTACCTATGGGTTAAAATCATGCCAGATCTGTTCTCTCTCTCTTTTAATTTCTGGACAGTGAAAATACTATTCTCTGTGAAAATACTAAATTTTTCGAACCCTTCCTTGCTGTCAAGGAATAACCAGTACACTACAGCTCAGCTGCCCTGCCCTGCTTCCCCTTTGTATGGATGTCCTAGGAAGGTGTGTGCTGCCAAGGTGACACGAATCCATTTGAGGAGGGAAGCTAGCATGTAGAGAAAGCCAAAAGGTGCCTTCCAACTGTAAGGTTTAGACCTTGAAAAGTAAGGAGAGAAGAAGCCATCTACTAAGGAGAGCATGGCCAATGCAGTTCCCAAGAAAGCATTTCTGAAAACTGGATCTCAATTCAGCAGAGCAGCAGGAAGCCGAGCTTGTTGGTGGTGTTTTTAGCAGCTGGTTCAGAAATTGGCTGTGATTTTGACAGCTGAAGCTACCAGAAGTGACTAAACTATCATCTCCCTGTTTCTCAAGTAGGGGAGGTAGAGTGGCTTTTCTGAAAGCAGATGGAAAAGAACAGCTTGGGCAAGGTACAGCCCCATAACTGGTATCACTGGCTTCCTTTAATGTGAGGAAATCCCTTCTGATTATATCTTCTAATTTTACTTTCTTGTTGCTAAACACTGTCTTTCGAAGGACATTCCTCAAAGCAGTGCCTCGAGCCTGCACCTAAATCTGGCTTAGTTTTAATACCTTAGTGGCTTATAAATTACGAGGGAGTCCATACACACAGGTTCAGAAAGATAGTTCAGAAATCTTGAGATTGCCTCATTTATGTGAGTTTTCAATGCATGCAAAGCTACCCTAGCAAATACAGTGGGCCCAACTGAAAGTGAACTATGTTTCTTCAAAAACTGTATAAATATTACTATTTAGTGAACTCTCTACACTCAAAAATGTTTTACAAACATTGATTCAGCCTCACTTGGAGCAGCTGGGAAGTTAATCTCTTCTATAGTTTCATTCTGTTCTGAGGGGTGGATGAAGTGTGGCAAAGGGAGGGACCTGCCCAAGGACAGAATGGAGTCATTGATCAACCTTGTCAGGAAGGTGTTCTCCTGATATTTCAGCTTCATAGAGGTAAGAGGGGTAGAAAAAAGATGAAGAGTAGACATGCAAGCAGTTTGAACAGAGAAGATGGTAAGTGGGAACTGGCCTGTACAGGCTTTTGAAAGCAAGAACAGGAAAGCTTGAATTTTGTACAGAAGGTGAAGGGAAGGAAATACAGAAATGCAAGGTTCTGCAGAGGGGCAGATATGGTCAGATCAGCAGGGAATTAAAGTCGTACAGTAGCTGCAGTGGGACTTGTTGCCTTCCCATATTGGTATTTTCATATCCATACTGCAGAAGTTCCATGCCCACCGTAACCCTCTCTATACATACGTGCGTGTGTATCGCAACAGCCTGTCTTCCTCACTGACTCAGCTGCTCCATTGTAATTGAAGACATTGTCCTCTCCTTCTCTGCCATTCGTTCTCTCGTATGCAAGTCAACATGCCCTCATGGTTGGTTTGAATAGCCTTTGAAAATTGTTACTATCTATATTTTTGTAGGATTCAGCAGCTTTATCTATGCGCAGCAGACACTGGGTAGGTTATAGTCTGTCATGACGAGATCTGTTTTCTTTCAGGGACAGAGTTGTAAGCTACACTCTGGGTCGCAGGCTTCCTACAGATCACGTCAGTGGCCAGCTCCAGTTCCGGTTTGAGATAACTTCTTCCATCCATCCAGGTAATTCTCGGGTTTAACCCATTAGTTATCTAGGTCTGTTTTTTGCTTTGCATTCCTTTCTCCACAGAAATTTGACTTCATTTCTGGATGCTCTGGGACATTAGGCACAATCATGACCAAATGCATAAAGTGCCCTGTCACAGGAAGCATCGTGAGTCACAGTTTGTTCTCTGATCCCTCTTAGTTCTCAGAGTTACTGATGTCTCATATCACCAGGTTGTCAGTTGCTTCAGATGGTCTGCTATGAGAGTTACAGTGGAGAGAGTAGAAAACTAAGCTCCCCTCTGCTTCTCTATGATTTTTTCCAAAGAAGTGTTGAAAGAACTATTACGAGCATTCTTCTGCATCTAGGCACTCTGTAAAGGAGAAACAGAGAATCTAATAGAAGAGATGATTGCAGATATTCTAATTTTGTTTATTTTTAATGAAAAAGAGTAAAAAGAAAAAAAAAGAATTCCTTCCTTCCTTCCTTGCAGCCTGTTCATTTTGGTTTGTTTTTGATTTGCGTTCTCTTGTAGTTACTAGGAATTCACTCTCATGATGTCAATGTAAACTTTGGTTTTCATGTGAAAAATATCGCAAGTGTTGCCAAGGGACTTTTGCCTTTCTGTGGTAGTGCCCTCTCAGGGGCACTTTGGAAATCAAAACTTCTATGAGTAGTTGGAAAATATGACCAGCCCCTTGCTGGGAAACGTCTCTCCTGTCCTTTGACTGTTGGGTGAGTGGGGTGAAAGAACCCAGGTTGACCGTCACCTGGGAGGAGGTGGGACAGAGAAGGGTCATGTCTGAAGATGTGTTGTGGAATCCTGGTAGCTTCAGCATGACTGGAGTAATGTTATTAAAACCTTGTGGAAGGTTTTCTTGTTATTCCTGTGATCTCCTTTCCCATGCCAGTTAACTCATAAGACTCTCAGGACAGTGTTACCTTCAGGTCGTGTTGCAAGGAGGACAGGGTGATGCATGCGGTTACTATGAGGAATTAAACCGCATTTTGGTTAAACCTATTGTAAAAAGACTACCTAGCAAAAAAAAAAACTTGATAGTTGATTAGTTAATCTTTCACATTGTAATTTATGCTTTTAATTTCCTCAGATTACTGTGGATGCCTGTACAACTATGTACCTGCTTCAGTCAACAGTTCACGTTAAAGGAGTAAGTAATTTCTTTTCCTGTCTCACACAGATGATGAGGAGGTCTCCATTAGTGCAGAACCTGAGCCAGCTGACCTCCAGGAAAGCCCTGTGAACAACCCCACAGAGGAAAGCCTCGGTGAGCCTCCATGCATCAACACAGTGACCTCAGAAAGTACAGCTCCAGAACAGCTAAATGGATACAGTGTGAACAATATCGATAGCCCAGGGGCTATGAAACCACCTGGGGAAGGCTACCAGAACAGCTTAAATGAAGAGCTAGCAGGAGATGGGGAGGTTGATGCAGTGCCTGTTCCTGAACACTTGGAATCGAACCCAGGAGAAGTGCTGCCTTCTTTGAGTGCTACGGACCTCACGGAGCAACTGGCTCTGCTGGCTTGCATGTCTCCTCTTGAGACTGAAGTTAGGGAAAATAATAAAGTCGATTTTGGTTCTCAGGGAGATGGTGAAGTCTTAACCAGCATAGAAGCGTTAGATATTGATGAGGTGAGTGCAGATGTGCATGCTGGCAAGGATCTAGAGAAGAGTCAGGACGAAGAAGGGGCTTCAGCCCAGGAAGAGGAAGACAACAAGCTACAGCTAAGGACCACAGCAAAGAGGAAAAACAGGCCATGCTCCCTGCCTGTGTCCGAACTTGAGACAGTCATAGCTTCGGCTTGCGGTGAGCCAGAGACCCCTCGCACACACTACATACGGATCCACAACCTGCTCCACAGCCTGCCCTCAGCGCAGATGAGCAGCGATGGGGAAGAAGAGCAAGATGGTGCCAACAATGGCGAAAACGATGAGGAGTCCACGGTCAAGGAGGCGTTGGAGAAGGACACAGTCAGCGAGAGTGAGACAGTGGCAGCAGAGCCTCCCGTGGAGAGCGAGGCTGAAGAGAACTTCAGCCAGCGCACGGTGCCCCCCGGGACTTCGGCCGAGCAGCTCGCTGACTTAAACGAAGGGCTGTTGGATGGGGAGCACCCCAGGACAGGGAGCGAGAGCGAGTCAAGCTCCAGGCCCAATGGGGACAACGAATGCGAGGCGTGTGACACGTCGTGCTACAGCCCCTCGTGCTACAGCACCTCCTGCTATAGCACCTCCTGTTACAGCACCTCTTGCTACAGCACCTCCTGCTACGACAGTAACAACCGCTTCTCCAGCCATACTCGCTTCTCCTCTGTCGACAGTGCAAAGATTTCTGAAAGCACCGTCTTTTCCTCACAGGATGATGAGGAAGAGGAGAACAGTGCTTTTGAGTCAGTGCCAGATTCAGTACAGAGCCCTGAGCTGGACAGGGAGCAAGTGGATGGCTCCTCCCAGTGGCCAGATGAACTAGTAGCTCATGGTGGGAATCCACAAAGAGCCACAGAGGGTCTAGACACTCCAGTAGCAGGTCCAAGCAGCAGAAGAGAAGGTTAGATCCTGAGAATCGATGCACTGAGCAGCCCTAATTATCTGGATGTCACGGAAGGCATCAGATAATTGAGGTTTCAGATAGCTCACACTTTATTTCTTGCAAATTTGGGACCTGGGAGCTGGACCAGATATCAGGGAAGGTTGGATAATTGAGCCTGTCCTTAAAAATACCAGCAAAACCAAATAAATGGGGATCTCTATATACAGTTTTCTGTAGATATGTATTCATCATTATGAATGTGAGATTAGTTCCAGGCGTTGTGTGGCCGATCAGCATTCTCACATCCACCAAGCCATTCCTTATTTCTTGGGACTGTTCCATTTCACATATCCAATGTGCTGCCATGTCTCTGGTAGTGAGTGAGAGGCCTGACTTGTGCTTGTGAAGGGGCAGACATGATGATACATTTTAGCTAAAGATTGGGGCCAGGATGTGTATGTGGTTGGTGGCCGTACACAGTCATAAGCATGGAGAAATGCAAATGTTTTCTAGTTAGAAAGGAACAGCTACCTCTTACAAACCCTCTTTTCTCCAATTCTCTAAAGGGTAAACAGATCTACCTCAGATTTGACAAACTACAGGCTGCCCTGGTAGAGATTTTTTTTTTTTGGATGCTTGGCAAATGTATCTATATCAAATGAAGTCCTTCTCTCCTCCACTTTCCCTAGAGATATAATTAAGATCATTATTGTTTGTCTGCGCAGTTTAGGTACTGTTTTTTCCCCCAAACCCTTCAAACCTTTACAGTAACTCGCGGTACGTAGTGGAGTTGCATGAGCATCCAGTTTGGTCACTCACCTCCTCTTCAGCCTGTTTAGTGCTTTGCCAGGCTGAAGAAGTAAAGGCCTCAGCTACAAGGATTGTGCAGCAAGGTCAGGAGGTAGTCTTCACATTCCCAAATCTCAACTATCTGTTGCCTGTCAGAGTGACAGCAAATTAAAATGTCGCCAACAGGATAACTTTTTTGGGGGTCACTTGAAGCCCTAACCAGAGCAGCTTTCCTCCTTTTCTTCCTCCATTCCCACTGCATTTCCCCTCACCTACTGCCACAGGCCCCACCTCTGGCAGAAAGGTTGTAGGCTGTCTTTACACTGGACTGCATAAGGACTTCCTAAATGGCGAGGTCTAGACAATTACTTGCTCTGCAGAGCAGAACTGAGCCTAAAGAATCAAATTCTCAGAACTGCGCAGAGGCAGAGAAACCACAGTGAGGTGGGCCTTCCTTCCTGCAGGCGAGGGTCTTTGCGTGTGAATCTGCTTGCATATTTGCCTGTGGGGGGCCCGAGTGCGTGTGTCTGAGCGCTCTTGGCCTGTGCTTACAAATATGATGGTTCTTCGGCAATGTGTGCGTGTGTGAGAGGGGATTTGGAGGGTGGGTGTGCACTGCATACGAGTTCTGTGCATCTTGGGATTTTCTCCCTTGAACCTGCGTAAAGGACACTGCAATGCTTTGCTTGGATTAGCCAAGAGGGAATGTGCGAAGAGCAGCAGTAAACGTGCATGGTGTTTCGTGGTTTGGTGGATATTACACGTGCGGTAGATGAGGTCACCTCCATCCGCTTCAGGTGACTGGTACTACCATGCTGCTGCTGGCTTGGCGTAACTATCTTGACTAGGGAAGAGTCAATTATGGTGAGGTAAGTAAAGAAACGTAGATAGATGATGTGGTAGTTGGTGCTATACCACCTCGGTAGCACATATCGAAGGTGGACTTCTGGCATTGACTAATAATGTGTAATTTTGCTGTCTGTTGAAAACATGCAGCACCCATGACTGTTAGATGTAGTTTAATGAAGTAGTTTGTGGTAGTTTAAGTAGTTTAATGAAGACAATTAGGAGGCCAAATGATATCATCAGAACACTGAGAAGAGGGAGGATTCTTATGCAAGTGATTCTTCTCACTTCTGGATAGTGTGAGTTATTTTACAGTTGTACTTAAATTGGCTTCTGCCCTCTAGCTATTCGCAAGGGAAAAACAAATACGCATTTTAGGTATCTATTTTACAATTTGATAGCTAGATGTTGTTTTTATAGAATGCTTATTCTTAGCATGTTAAGATCCTAGCATTAAAGATAGCTAAACCAGCCAGCATATAGTGAGTTCGGCTCAGCTGCATTTTGGCTCTTCTGAGTTTTAAAGTAGCTTTGTATAATATTCCGGTGATTTCAGAAATGTTAAACATTTTTCCCCTAATTTGCATCTTTTTGATGCATATACATGTTATATTTATGTAACTTAGACTGTATCTCTATAACACAGGCTCATATGGAGCTGGAGGTTGTAGTGAACAACTGTTATCATACAACATGAAAATACATCCATTAATAGGATAAATAATCCTGATTTCTAAGGTTTTAAAGAAGACCAGAAAGAGATCTGAATTATGAAACCTGTGGAGTTTTAACTTGCAGGTTCCTCATTTTCATGCTTAATTCTAGTATTAAGAGTAGTTTTTCATCCTTACAATAAACTTCTTAGTTTCTTAAGGAAATCTGTAAACCTTGGCTGAATCTTAAATTACTCATTCCCATCAATAGAACATCAGATTGCAAATTTGCTTAGATTCCATTATTTCATATTTGGATACAGAGGCTTATATGCAATATTGGTGTTTAAAAATTTCCTCTACCCTGTCTATTTTGTGTCTCCTCTTCTTCTTTCCTACTTCTCTATCTCAGGTCTTCCTTCTTTATCTCAGGTCCTGACTCTGTCTCACTATCTTTTAACCTCCTCTGCTATCACTTGTCTCCTACCTGTTTCTGGTCTTTCTCTCATTCTCTTTCCTTCCACTCAAGATGGAGAGCTGAATTTTGGAAAATAATTATAGAAGGGGATGATCTTCTGCTCTACAGGGACTGCAAAATCTTCCCACTTGTACATCTATTCATCTGTAGAACTTTTCTGAAAAGTGGATAAAGCTTCAAAGGCAACTTTTAGCCTCACAATTCTCTGATGGGGTGACTAAAAAGTTGGAATGGATTTTGCATGTTCCTGACCAATTTCTGCAGAAGCTTGAGTTTGGTTGTACTTACACAGTACTTCTCAGAGATCAAGCCTGATTCTTCTCTCGCTTACACTTGTGTTTCTGGAGTAAATGAGTCCAGAATCTGGCCCATAATAGTTTAGCATTGACTGAAACCCGAGACAAGATCCTTGACTGTGTTATTTTAATGATTCTTTGACTTATGAGTAGTTATAAAATAGAGCCTGGAAAAAGAAGAAAACAGAGCTGCTAGTACAACACTACTCTAACCTTTTTTAGAAAAATAATCACTTGTTTTACAGTAGCACATTTTTTAAACCACATTGTGAAAACCGTGAATGACTGTGAATGTCTTGAATATCTTGTCCATAGGTGATTGCCCTTTACTCCATAATTCTCAGCCAGTCAGCCAGCTTCCTTCCCTGAGGCCTGACCATCATCACTACCCAACTATCGATGAGCCTCTTCCACCAAGTAAGCTTTAGTTTTTTAATTTATTATATTTCTCAACCTTTCCTGTTAACTGAAACAGTGTAGAGGTCAGTATGTCTTTCTAAATGACCCCGTCTGTCCTGTATATTTATTCTCCAGAACTCAAGCAGTATGCCCTTTTGTTTCCCGTATTTGATCCTGACTTCAAATGTTGTCATGTTATTTTGGACAAGCTCCATACGCTCCTTCTGCCTTGGTCGCTCCTCCTTAGCTACCATGAAATGTAAATAATACACTCTTGTCACCAGTCACTGTTATAAGACTGGTATGAGTGGGTATCTGTAAAGTAATTTGGAAGCCCTATAAAAAAAGTCTCTGGGTGCTGTAATGACACAGTACTCTTTTTTTCTCTACAAAGTTTGTCTTCAGGTTTTTAGTCTTTTTTTTCTTTTTTTTTTCTTTTTTTGTGTGTTTTTGCACTGACTTTGGATCTGATAATCAATGTTCATTATGGACTGTAATGGGGTCTGTAGTTGACAGTAATAAGAAAACGAAATGGTTTTAAGAGAAGTGGTGGATTAGCAGGCTGATAGTATGGGATTTTTAGCTCCGTATCAGTTGCTGGAGGTGTTTCCACTTGGCTCCATAGCCTTTCCCTTGTGTGGTCCTGGAGGATTACCCTGCTTTTTGCATTAGCATGAACTGCCCAGAAGAGTGCACTCCTTGCCCTGCAACATTCAGGATCACGCTTCAACTTCAGCATATGATTTAACAACCCTAAAATATTCAGTGCCTCAGAAAACCAACCAGGTGTATAAACAAAGCACTTTATTTTCTTTAAAGTCCAAATAGGGAGCACACTTATTTTGCACATGCTGCCCTTGACAAATAATTCATCCTTTACCAACCATGCTGTCAGTATTCCCCAGACTGCAAATAGCCTCGGTGCTGGCGTCAGTTACACAAGTAGCAGCAGATGATTCAGATGCCTTTAGCCCAGTATTAGAGTCCCACTGTGGCTGGCCAGTGAATGATGAAATGGGAACGTTTACCTCTGTAACAGGCAAATATTTCTCTTCTTCCCACTCTTACCTCAACGCTTTGTGCATAGGGCATGTTCCCAATTAGATGACTTAATGAGAGGACACTGACAGCAGGTGAGGTAAAAAATAAAAATGCTGTAAATCTGTGTCCTATTTTCTGCTCTTGCCAATCTAATGTTGGGTTTATCATCAGCCTCAAAGGGCAAGTATTTCTATCACTGGTTTCCACAAAGGCTGTCAGAGAAGGGAGATGAAGGAGATGAAATCCAAAGTATGTAATACAGTGGTGAAGTGATACGTATTTGTGTCTGAGCACTTGCTTGTAACATTTGCAATAAAGATTGAAACAATGGACTTAAATACATTGAATTTTTAGGAATATAGTGTGCTAGGTTAACTTTTTGGGAGGGAAAAATTAATAAGATAGTATCACCTAGGAAGGCACTGCCCAAAACTGTCAATGAATTTTTAAAGTAATTTCAAAATGAAAAATATTTAGAAATATCTAGAAATATTTCTTCTTCTGTCATTCAGTAGTGCTATCTCAGTGCCTTTAATCCCACTTAATCCACAGGTAAATAAATTTTGAATTGTGTGAGAGAAAGACATTTTATATTTTCAACATAAATTAAATGATCAGCTGGCTTGTGTCACACATGGAGCACTAGCTTCTGTCTGGAGGTGGGATTGAAGATAATTTACTATTACCGACATATTACCAATATTGACTGGCTTTACCTCTGTCCTGGAGAACCCACTTGATAGTTTTTTCTTCTCTTTCAAATAAGTCTTGCAAATAACTTTGTTTCGTCATAACTCCACAACATTTCTTTCCAGGGAGGAAATTTAATTTCAGACAAATTTATTTGGCAACATATGGGAGAGCAGATTTACTATTTATGTAGGAATGCTGTAATGACCAGTCTGAAAGTTAAGGCACATTTGAGATCGACAGAAGATTTGCAGTTGGTATGGCCTCATGACAGCCTTAATAGCCACCTCTTACTATGCATGTATTTGCTAATACTGCTGGAAACAGTACAGCACTGAATACAAGAAAAATACATGTGCCCTGTTCAGAGCTGCCTCTGTGACGAAGGTGTGGCTGAGCTTGGAAAGGGAAAGCAGGCGTGTTTATTTTGCCCCTCCAGGATTATGGGCCTGCCAGAAAGTATTGCATCTTCTGGTATAAGTCAGAACAGTTTGAGAGGCTGCTGTGAAATACACATTGGTTGATAGAAGGAGATCGCTGGAGGACAAAACCCCATATTGTCCTGTTTTCAGCCAGTGTCCAGGGGACCAGTGTCCTCCTGCTCTGGAGGCTGAATGTGTAGTCACAGTCTTATTTGCCTTAAGGAAAAAAAAAGTAAGAAAAAAATATGGAAAAAAAAGTAGAGGAGATTTGGCTGCTTCCTAGATCCCTTATGCTCTGAATTAGTCCTGTCTGTCAGTTCACCTGTCAGCCTGTTCATCCCTCTGTGCAGGCATCCATCCATCTGTCTGCAAAGCTGGTGTCGTACGTAGCCTCAGTGGCTTCCGTGACTTACTAGTTGTCGTGTGAGGAGGCAGAAAGTGCAGCAGCAGTTTGGCAGCAGATAGAGCAGAAGTATCAGCACCTGCCACCTCCTGACAGCCTTCCCAGTTGACCAGAAGAAGGTGATAACTCATCACCTGCTCAGAAGTGCAGTTGCAAGGAACAGTGTCCATGTAGAACCGCAGTAGGTCCTCCAAAAGCCATGTGTCACATAGTTCCTAATATCTTAGAACAACAATGAAAGTGTCAGCCCACAATTTCACATTGTATAAGCAATGCATCAGCAGAGAAAGTGTCCCAAAAATTGTAATGCAGCACCATCCGGACCTGCTGTTGTCACTATGACCTCCAAGCTCTGCGCAGGTTTAGTACTCCGAGCTTTCTAAGTGTTAAGCTTAGGAGCTCTGAGTTACGTTTAATTAGAGACACACTCTTAAGTCAGTGTTGCATTATGAGAAGCACTTGTTTTACTGTGTAATAGGGTAGTGTTATTCTTAGTGAATGTCCATCAGCAGGCTACAGACCAATATGACCAGCAGTAAGTACCAATATGACCAGTAGCAAGTGATATCTTCTGTGGGCTGGCCAGAATGTGAGTCTAATAATTGCCTACAAGTCTCTAATTATCCACTGAGCTTTATTACATTCTCAACCTGTTGCACGATACTACAGCGTGGTGTGAAGTCAAGTATTTGGTTCTTGCCAGACAACAATAAGGAAAATGAAGATGATCTTAGTGATGTTATGGTATGAACCGTTACCTTTGATCTGGCCAAGGTTATTTCTGTGTTGCTGGTGCTGCAGTGATTGTGGAAGGACCATTCTCCATCGGAGGCGGTGTGCCTGCTGCCCATGATAATACGCTCAGCAGGGATCTGGCCCGCAGCCTGGCCCACATGTCCAAAGGTGTCAGTCTGACTTCCTTCAGCGTGCATCTGTTGTACTTGCTGTGCCCTTTTTCACTGTCTTATGTTTCAGGCATCGTTTTCTTTGAGCCGTGTTCTCGAAACAGCTACAGCATCCTTGGGAAACCAAAGCCCATGGGAGTAGCAGGGAGCCCTCTCCTTAAGATTATATAGTAATATTCACAGTGAGAGAGACTCTGTGTGCGTGGCTCTGTGTGTGCACCTGTGGTGTGGGCGTATGCTTTGCACCTGTAAATACGGAGGTGGTTGCCTTCAGCTTTAAAGAAGTGATGCATGTGTATGTGGCTCCCTGCTCTTTTAGTCTTACAGAAGGTTCCTCCAATGGCTCCCAAAGTCCATGTTTTCAGATTCCTGTGATTAATGTAGCAGGAGCAAACAGCCACAGCCAGCGCTTGGGTGGGACCAGGCCGGGCATGGGAACTGAATTCAGGCAGGGCCAGTGGTCAGGAGAGGAGAACTAGCAATTGCAAACTGGTTTCCAGACACAGCAGGGAGAGGCACAACTTCAATCCTACTCTTAGAGGGTAGAGGGTAAAGAAATGAAAACTAGTTTATTTGGTTGTAAAAGCCATGGAAGAAGGAATAGATGCATCTCTACCTAAACTAAGGAGGACAGAGCTGTAGCAAGGATATGGGGAGAAGAGGGAGTGTGGGTCCACAAAGATTACTACTATATGTGCATTTGTGTGTGAATGTGGGTGGTGGTTTGTATATAATATATGTAGCAAGTATGTGCATATATTTGATAGATATGTCATCAGCTGGTGATCATGTGGAAATACGAAGACAGCAAATTAAATTTTTAGTACTTCATGCCATCCATTTCAAGCAATTCAATGTATGGCTTAGGTTTTTTTTTAATTCACTTCTGAATTTCCTGTTACAGACGATTTTTATCAGTATTTTCAATGCTTTTCATGCTTATAAATGTCATTTTCCACAATCCATCAGAACTTTCTAATTTTCATTCATGGGACAACTTAGACTAACATTGACAGGAGACAGTCATGATGGAAGACTCAATATTATGCTGCAAATTCTCCATCTAGTTGGCATTCACTAAAGCAATAGATTTATGACAATCATCTGCTTGTATTTATAGAGATTTCTAAGAACACGACCAGCCAAGCTGTGATCAGTTTTAGGTGGGGAGCCTGTAATTACTATACGGTATTCTTCTGAGGCACTTTATAGAAGAAAAATGAAATATGTTTCTTCTGAAACATAACTGAAAAGAAAACATGGGATTTGAAGCATTAGCTGAGACTTAATCTTTCTCTGCTAGGGGCCTGTTCTGTATGGCTGCCCTGACCTCCAATAAATCCAGCCAACCGGTATAACTGATTATAAAATTATCCAGCCCTTTAAAAATACAGCCAGTGTCACTTATTTTTCATAGTCTATGGTATGAATTCTATAGGCTGCCTATGTGCTTTGAGTGAAGTAATATGTATATGAATACACTGCGTATACATATATGTAGATATGCACTTAGTATATCAATATATACACATTAGGATATCTACATACACACATAGGTAGTATCTGTCTCTCTTGTGTACGTATGCCCACTGTGTGAGTATATGTCTGTGTGTGCGTATATGTATTTCCAGCGCTCAGGCTTTGGGGAAGGCGTCGCACTGAAAGCCTCCCCCTCCTCTCTTTGCACCCCTAGACTGGGAGGCACGCATCGACAGCCACGGCAGGGTGTTCTACGTGGACCACGTCAACCGCACCACCACGTGGCAGCGTCCCACCACGGCGGCCACGGGCCCCCGCCGCTCCGGATCCGTACAGCAAATGGAGCAGCTCAACCGGCGGTGAGTACCTGCGGTCCCTTCCCCTCACAGCCCCAGGGCCTGCCTGCCCTCCGGTGTCTACTTCCTAGCATCTGCTCCCTAAGGATTTACTCTTCCTCCTCATCCAACCTGCCTCTCCCTGGCCTGCCTGCTGATCACTTGCCGCCTGCTGCGAACGTGCTGTGCCCTGACTTGGCTGTGTGAGGAGGGTCGTTGGGTGAGCCATGTTGCAAAGCATTTCAAGTAGCAAGAGGTTTATGGAAAAGCTTTTGGAAATGTCTCTAGAAGAGACGGGATGAAGTCTTTTTGCTATTCAGCTCTAGGAGCAGCGTCCATGAGTCAGTCCCCAGTACTGCAGTGCAGCATCTCCAGAGGTGTCTGAGCTCATTTTTACTGGATAGTGTAGCCTTATCAGTGTGGCATTATCTAGGCATATGTGGCCTGCTGAAAGGCCTGTCTGCTTTTCTAGGGCAGGATATTGAATTAATATGAATGTAACCTTCTACACCTAGACAGACCTGCTTGGTGCTGCACTGGGCTTGATAAATCTGTGACTTGGTTCAAATCTATCTCAAAGACCTTTTACATTTATTTCCCACTTAGTTTGACAGCTCCTCACATACATTTGTTTATCATTTTCTACTTGTGTTTGCTTTTCAGGCGGCATTTAGGAGGAGAAAAGAGAAAAAGTAAACAGCTGGGCAAAATCCTCCTTTTCTACTTGCGAAAGCTTTTGTTTTGTTTTTTGTTTGTTTGTTTGTTTTATTCCCTGCTTACTGTAATGATACATTTTCTTTTCTAGCCAAGCAAGACAGAAATTATATTCTAATCACAGTATGTGAAATACCACCTAATTTAGGGGTCTCTGTATTAAAAGAAAGGTCAGGAGCTAAGAGAAGGATACAATTTCAAAGTGTTCTTTCTGTGGTGCAGAATAGTTTGGAAGTTACTGCATCCTCTGTAAGAAGAACTGAGTCCTGAGTAACATGGACTAGAAAGTTGTGTAACTTTTCTGAGAGCAAGCCACTTCTGGAAGTGATTTTTGTGCACAGTAAGTTGACACATCAACGCACTCTTGAGGATTTTCTTTCTCCCCCTCACCCCCCCCTCCAAATTCATTATTCTGGATGATATTTCAACCCAGCACCATATATTATTTATTGTAGAGGTGAAAGAACCGGCTCACTGTTTCCGTTATAGCTTTTCTCAGAATGTGTCAAGCTGCCATGTTAACATTAAAGAAGCAAAGAAAAGTGGGTATTTCTAGTACACTCTTTGAAGGGATTTACATGGTTCTTCTCTGCCATTTAGAGTTTGTCTTTACAAAAGATTTGGGTCTTGTCAAAACTCAGACAGTTTGATTGCCACTGAAGCAAGTTACCTGACACAGGAAGCTCTCTTGTGGATGTAGTTCAGAGGTTAGGATTTTTGGGGGGGATTTTTTTTTTTTTTGCGTTTTTTGTTTTCCTTTGGTCATTGAACTCTCATGCAAGCCCAACACAACCAGTAATAAATGCTTGTGAGTGTCTGCATAGGAACCTACCGTTCTGTTAGCAGACATGAGTTAATCAGTAAACCAAAGGCATTGCCTTTGTGATCTCCTGATTCCTATTTTCATGTAGGCTGCCTCCTTTTTTTTTTTTTTGAATATCGTCATTTTTCACTTGTTTGTCTTGGCAATTGACTGCTGATATATTCATCTTTCTATATCTCAACATTTTTAGTATTCAGATATGTGGGTACAGAGTGAGAAGCAAAGATGTTCAGTAATGGCATAGCCCTCCTCACCTAAATCCAAATAGAGACTAAACATTTTACAAATTAATAAACGTGGGACTGCCATGACTTCTTGGGACAGATGGAAAAATAATGATTCTGTATTGTCTGCTAAAGAGCCACTGAAATTAAAATTAAAAAATACTTAAATACTTTTTTTTTTCAACACAGAGAGGTCTCCCATTGTTCCTAAGTTTGGGTAGTTGAATAGAAACATTTCTTAAGAATTCAGTGAAATAGCTTTGTGCTGAACATTATGATAATTTCAACCAAAATGAGTATTTCTGAGGATGAAAGCAATTTCTGTATTTTCAGCTTGGCTTTCATAACTTTAAAAATTGTCTTCGTCCTAAAGCTGGACAAAATCAAATATTTCTCCAGATTTGGCACTTGTGAGGAAAATATTTTTTCCTAAACAGTTACTGAAAAGTTCTGCAGAGAATCAGGCTGTGTTTGAGTATTCATTTTACAAATACTCTTCTTTTGTATTTCAAGATTCATTATTTGAAACAATCTTCAGCAAGCACACCAGAAAATCATTTTAGGCAAAGCAACAGCAAACACAGACCTTGCTGATGATAGACTTAACAGCAGCCTGAACTTTTGCTCCAGGCTCAAACAAAATAGGACTCGAATCATCTTGGCAGTTTGAAAAAACTTGGCTACTTTTCTTTTTAAACCAATCATCTACTCACTTTTCAGCTTCCTGATTTCATATGGGGAAGGGAATGGAAAGACTAAAATACTACAGGGAAGCTTGGCGTTTCCAACCCAACCAAAACCACAAAGCTTTGGAAATTCCACTTGAAAAAAACCTCATAGCTGTGACTGCTCTAATCCAAGAGTCCAGTCCCAATTTACTTCTGCGCTCAAAGCTTCATATTAGCTATACTGGCCATTTGGGGATACAGGGAATGCAAAATTGAAATCCAGGCTTTGGGCAAGCTCCAAAGAAACATCTCTACCTTTTATTTTAAAGATCTTTTTGCTCATTTTCTGTAGCACTACTACAAGCAACTGCTTGCTTGTTAGCAAAGCAGATAATAGCCATTACTGTTCAAACTGTTGGAAAGACCCTGTTAAGTATATGTGCTTTCACAGCTTGGCTTCTCCTTGCACAGCTTGGCTTCTCCTTATTATTTTAAGAAACAATAAATAGCAAATTATAATTATATAGTTAAAACATCCTCTGTGTGATATTTCTAAACCTCTGTTTCATTGACAAATCACTTTGAAAGCAGGCTGAAATTTCCAGAGGCATTCTCATAGCTTTTACCTTTTCAATATTTTCTCCAATTACTTTGACATTTTCTGGTATTTATATAAGACAATTTTATATTATTGAGACTAAAACAAAAATAGTAGCCTTTTGTTGGCATACAGCTAACTTTACTGTTTAAAATTTGCCAATAGGGATTTTCTGCTGTGTTATTAAATTGGAGCTACATTTTTTTTAACATGCTGCTTATATCCCTTGAATATATAAACTCCTTTTTTTTTCTGTTTCCCTTCGCTATTGCATGTGGGTGTCATAAAACTCCTCAAGTATTGGAATGGAAAGCTTGTTCAATTAGCCTGGAGTCGAGTGAATAAAAATGTAAAACATGGGTCTAAAACAGAGGGGCAGAGCAGCTGAGGTAAATTTATGCCGTTGTGAAATCTGCTTTTTGCATTTTACATGTTTACTTAAAAACAAAAAAGTCTGGTTGTTTTTTCTTAAATCTTCTAAAAATGTTGTTTATTGAGCTATTGAAGCATATATTAAATGTAACTTTAAATTACTTTGATTACTGGGGGAAAATACATTATACTGTGTAAGTTTAGCATAAATCTCTTAAAGCGTCAGTTATTTTTCTTAATTACCTCCAATCCTTCTCCCTGAGGTCAGGCTGGAGTGTGCTACTGGCATTGCTGTCTGTTGAGGTATATAAAAGCTAAATCCTAACTGCTTGTCGTTAATGATCCCATGTTGCTCTGAGGAGCTCATTCCTGACCAACTCCTAATTTGGAATAAAGTGCACATTAACAGATAGAGAGACAGGAAGAAAGGAAAATGTAGAAGTCAGAAGATGAGCTGATGAAGGAAAAGAGAATGTAAGTCACTAAGATGAGAGACAAATAATGCTGGATCTGATTAAAAGCAAACAGTAGAGCTATCCCAGTTTATATCAGTACAGGAATGCATTGCAGAAAAAAGGATTAAAAATACCAAGGTGGAGTTAAAACTAATTAAAATATTGAGAGCCGTTTTCCTTCCCTTCATTCTTCCTTTTCTGTCTTTCATTCTTTCTTTTCTCTTTCTCTCTTTCTTTCCTTCACTTTTCTCTATTTCTCTCCTTCTCTTTCTCTCTCTCTATTTTTATCTTTCAATATGTAAAAAGACTTGTTATCTTCATAGGTTGCTAGTAAAAACAAAGAAATCTTCATCTCTTGTTTTATTCATCTGTTTATGTTGGTGAACATGTTAACTAGAATTTGTTTTGAAACACTCCAGGTAATTCTTTGATCCTGATCTAGTAGAATGTTTAAGATTGAGCTCTTCTTTTCTAAGGCCCTGATTAGTTCTGTTGTCATCAATTAACATGGAAATTAGTTCCATAATTAGTATGTAAATGATATTACAGAGTTTTAAAGTTGCTTGCACTTGCAGGTTTTAGTTCATTTATTTCTGTCTTCCTCGATATTGTTTGCTTATCTCTGTATTCTTTCCTCTTCCTTGCTCTGCAACTAGGTATCACCCAACTCAAGATAAATACCCTCTCCCACTAATTCCCATAAATAGAGTAACACTTGCTTCCCCACATGGTTTGCTCAGCTCACTGGTTACATCTTTATTCTCTTTTTTTAATGCGTGTGTCTGTGTGCCACATCTAGTCCAAGCCCCCTGCTCCAGCAGGGACACCTAGAGCACGTGGCACAGGGTGGCATCCAGGCGTGTTTGGAAGATCTCCAGAGAAGGAGACTCCACAGCCTCTCTGGGCAGCCTGTTCCAGGGCTCTGTCACCCTCACAGAAAAGACTTTTTTCCTCATATTCAGGTGGAACTGCCTGTGTTTCAGTTTCTGCCCATTGCCTCCCGTCCTGTCACTTGACCACCACTGAAAATAGTCTGGCCTCATTTTCTTGACACCTTTCCTTGAGATATTTGTATATACTGACAAGATGCCCTCTCAGTCTTCTCTTCTGCAGGTTAAACAGGCCCAGCTCTCCTGTCCTTTCCTCATAAGAAAGATGCTCCAGTCCCCTTATCATCTTCATAGGAACCTCTCTAGAAGCTCCACATCCCTCTTGCACAGGGGAGCCCAGACCTGCACTCAGTACTCCAGGTGTGGCCTCACCAGAGCTGAGAAGAGCGGCAGGATCCCCTCCTTTGACCTGCTGACAACGCTCCTCCTGATGCAGCCAGGATCCCGTTGGCCTTCTTGGGCACGAGGGCTGCCTCATGCTTATCTTGTCCACCAGCACTTCCAGGTCCTTCTCCACAGAACTGCTCTCCAGCAGGTCAACCCCCAAGCTGCTCTGGTGTATGGGGTTATTCCTCTGTAATTGCAGGATGCTGCACTTGTCTTTGTGGACCTTCGAGGTTCCTCTCCACACTTCTCTCCAGCCTGTCCAGGTTTCTGGATGGCGGTTCTCCATCAGTGGCGATGCAATGTCCTGATAAACTCACTGTTAGCATTCATCGTAGCCTTTCGTTTTTTAGGGTTGACCTGTGCATCTGATTTTGTACTAAGCAAGACTGAAGGGTATGCAGTACATCACCAGATTGGTCCTTACTTGATTGGTTACATTACCAAAGACTGAGGGAGGGAAACATGATTTTCTGATAATTTTAGATGCCAGACATCCAAACGATTGAAATGGAAGTCTAATAGGAACTGGTATCTTAAATATTAGTGTTAATTTGACCTGTGACTCTCCTTGCCTTGCGCTCTCTGTTGCAGACGTTTGTTCATTGGTGCAAAATGTCATATTTGCAGTGTAATGGTTGGTCCAAGTGTGAACAGCTTCTTCAGCTGGAGAAGAAAAGTCGGCCTATTCTTATTATCTTGCATACTGCAGATAAAAGTATTGGAACTGTTCAAACAAATGTTCACTGCTAAGGTAGAAAGCACCAGGAAGTTCTTCTGTTAACTAGATTGTTCCTTTCTCTAAAAATACGCAGATACCAAAATATCCAGCGAACGATTGCGACAGAGAGGACCGAGGATGATGCCATAGTTAACAACAGAGTGGAAAGAGTTCCCACTGGGGGAGGAAGTGACTCCGAGGCAGAGCCATCCCAGACAAGCTCAGGTATAGAGAAAAAAAACATTCAGTGGCATGTTCAGCGCCACTGAGTGGTAGTGTTTGGTTCTGGGGAATACCGCATTTCCACTGGGTGCTGGAACTTCATCCTAGCAGGATACAGAAGCTACATAAAAGAAGGAGGTGTAACCCTTGAAGCTACAGATGCAAAGCCAGAGACAAAAGGCCTTAGTATTTTTTAACAACTACTAACACAGGCAAAATATTTTTACTTTAGTAAAGATTTATTTGAAATGAAACTAGAGAAGGCACCTTTTTTTTTCAGCTCAGCTGTTGCAAAAACTGCACTATTTTATTTTTGCTGCAGTGTGATTTTAGTCTCAGGGGGCTTTGCCTTCTAAAGACAGCTTATTCACCCTGGGCTCTGCAGCACTTGAGCATGTGGTCACACCTGCAGTGGCCCTGGCGTTGAGAAGGGAATACTTACGTTTTTAAGGCTGCAGTCTTGTGGTAGCTGTGAGCTGATCCAAGTGCAGGCTGATACTGAAAGAGGCACAGCCGTCTCTTTGCTTATCACTCATATGACTATGTGCTATACCAAAGCAGAGGACAGATCCGATTGAAAACAAATCTTTTACCTTGAGACTGGTGCAGTTTACAACCAGATCAGTTCTCTCATCTGGCTTTTTACATGACCAGAGCAAAACTACAAAGGAGAAGAGAAGGATGTGTACCTAGGAGCAGGGCAGGATGGGCAGAGAGCTCTTCCACTCTTCTTGGCCATAGTAATACTTATTCTTTTCTTTAAAGTTCTGGAAGCAGAGTACTCTGTTGGAAGTAAAAAAAAAAAAAAAAGCCTGTGCCACCAAGATGAATGGCAAAAATTAGTTTGGAAGATACATATTGGTATTTAATGCCAATAATTGAAAGGTTAAGGGGAGATGCAAACCACACTAGAATAAGAGAAAGCTGCTGTATGATACATTTGCCTTTCAATTTAAAAAGAAATTTTTAAGGGCAAATGTAAAAGGAAAGTAACAGGGGGGCATTGTATGATGCTTTACCTCACCAACATGGAAGTGAGCAGCAGAGCAAGGGACTTGCTTAACCTAGCCTTGCTACCAAATGCCTTGTGCTGGTGAATGCCTCCGTTTGGATGGAAATCAGCTTCCCCCTCTGGAATCCACCATGGGGAGAACCATGCTCAGGATTTGGCTAATAGCACCGAAACAAGCCCTCGCCTAGTAAAAACTGTTGTAGTCACATTGCCATGCAGTGTCAATGTGAACAGCAGCGGATACGACCCAGAGTTTTATAATATGCCGGGTAGGAAAACACCCAGGTCCTGCCCTGCTTCTGTCAGCTCTGCAACACTAACCATAAGGAAAACATCTGCTAGTTTGCTAGCAGGCTTGTCTTCGAAACACAAAGATGTATTGGGCAGGGTGGTGACATTCTTATACATGTTTTTATATGCTTCTGTGACCATGCAATAAAAGTTAAATAATGTACTACTTTGCTATGTTAATAAGGTTTCGCTTTGTGTTCTTTTTTTCTCCCCAGAAATTAGGAGAGAAGGTTCCCTTTCTCCCGTGAATTCTCAAAAAATCACCTTGTTGCTGCAGTCTCCAGCCGTAAAGTTCATCACCAATCCTGAGTTCTTCACTGTGCTGCATGCAAACTATGTGAGTAACTACAATTTGCTCTCTCATTGCCACTACTTTTTAAGTCCAGAGGCTGAGCACCAGGCATGTTGAGCACAGCACAGGCAGACTGCCCCAAATAAACTTTTGCTGAGATTCTTCTTCATACACGGATTTTCCCGGCATAAAATAAGTGCTTGCCTCATTAATATTATCCTTCCAGATTGTGCAGGAAATCCTGGTTTGTGCTTGGTTCATTTTGTTTTCTTTTGCTGCAAGGCTTAATATTATTGTATTTGGATCTGTGTTTCTGAGATATTTTATTCAGATGCTACCAAATCTCAGGGAAATAGAGCAAATTTACTGGCTCCTGCAGTTTGCATTCCCAAGAAATAGATGGGCAAAATCTGTCAGGCAATGAAGGAAGTAGTCATTTGAGTCAGTGCAACTATTATAGCTATTTGACGGGGGGGAAAAAGGGTATCTTTTTGTTCCAGAAAACCAGAAATCTGCATGCGTTCTTACAAACCTCATATGCACAAGAAAAAGTTAAAGGGTAGTTCATTTGGAAGACAACACTTAGGGAAGTGTCACAAGGAGAGATGCAGTTTTCAGGTTTCAGTCCTAGTTTTCTGTGACCTGGAGGTAGTTCAGCTAGGCATACATACATGGCTTCAGAATCTTTGCAGAATTCTCCTCTCCTGGATAAAACAGCCTTTTTTTTTTCTTTTTTTTTTAAGAAATAAAAATTTTCAGAATTGTCTCAGCACAGGTCTTTTCACTGAAGGCAGACATCCTGTTCTGGTTCTGATGCTGTACAGGTTGATGCCAGCTCTCCGTCTCCAGTTCTCCCACAGAGATTATTGCCCCTGAAACCTTACAGAGGAAGAGAGATTTTAAGTCACCTGACTTTAACTGAATTAGGCTATGGAGGGCACATAATGTCCATTGATAGGTTGATATTTGATGAGTTGTAGCTCATTTTCAGTTGTTTGAGTAATGAACAACTGATTCCACAGTGGTACATGATCTGCTCGCAAGAGACTGAATCCCTGCTCATTTCTTCCTAAAATAGAAAATCCAAAAGAGGCTTTTTCTTCAAACTTACAAAGTTGTCACTAAAATGGGAGCCAGAATAATCTCTTGAAACATCTGTCAGATAGTCATACAGATGCCACTTGTACAGAAATAATGGCTCACATTTCTTTTGGCTTAACATGGTTGTAATATTTTAACCACAAACCCCTATTAAAATTTAGAGCTATTAAATATACCAATGAAATTGAGAGTGGAAAATATTATCCAGCAGCTGGAATTAAAATTAAAAGGCGCTCGTTTTGCAGATATTTTGTTTCCATGGAGGGCTAAAACTACAGCTTTATAAAACTACATTTTTGCTTTCCGTAGTTAAGCAACTAAGAGATATTCAGTCACTGATCAAACATTAGATCAAAATATAACTTCCGTTGTGCGGTAGACTGGGACCCCAGCAATTTGTGACCGCAGAGCTTTCCTACGTTATAACTTAAGTTATATCTTTAAGGCAGAGATATAGGGATCCTGAGCTGCAAAGAAGTATTCTCTTTTCAACACTGCCACCAGTATAAATCCTTACGTAATAAAAAAATAACACATACAAATACTGTCTTGCATTGCAGTGGTTAGAATGGATTGAATATACACACAGAGAATTCAAATTTGTTAGGTCAGAGTCTCTGGACAGGCATACACACCAGAAGTAGCATCCTTGGAAGCACAACTCCTTCAGTGACAGAGATTTCATGAAATGCTTTGTGTAGTGTATCCAAAGCTCTCAGGATTGATTAAATTCATGGGGCTCACCAGCAGGACCAATGCAGTCATTTACTCTGCAGGTCAGAAGGGGTGCAGATTTCGGTAAACTTTAATAGCCTGTCTCGAGGAACATTTCACCTAAAGTAAAAAGTCCAAAGGGTAGACCGTGGACCATGGCAAGAAGTATTACCATCATGTATTTTGTGGCGTTGTATCATTGAATATACTGGGGCAACAAATATGCACCTGTTCTGCCAGCAAATCAGCAGAGACTCACTCTGCTCTGCATCAGTGCATCTTCCTGCAAGTGCAAGAACTATAGTTCATGTCCACTGTAAGATAGGAGGATGGCTCAAGGATGGTGTTCATCTGGCTCACGAAAGCATATCCATCCGATGTGTATTGTAGTCAATGCAGAAAGTAGTATGCAATGCCAGGGAGCTATTTGTATCTTCCAAGACATAAAATTTTAACTGTCCATTGCTGTCTATGTGTATGAAATGACCCTAAGGTGACAAACTCAGATGTAGTCCTCTATACTGCAGTCCTCCATAGTTGATGATTCCTGTCACAAACACTTTGGTTTGAATTACAGCATAAATGCATTTTCACAGCTGCCTTTCTGGAATAATCTAGTCACACAAGCAGTGTTTTGCTTGGACCAGAAAAGCGGTGTAATTAAGCCCAACTACATGCAGAGTGAGCGTGTGGTGTCTCAGCTGACTGTCTTTTAGCAGTGAAGTAGGAGGCAGTTTGCAAGCTTCCTGTGCATAGCGTGTGGGATGTTTGTATTTCCAGAATTTATTTCATTCTTTTAGGTGTTCATATAAAGTAGTCATTGAAATGATTGAAATGAAATGTAAATTGTTCTTGACTTTAATGGAATTTGTTTGAGTTCTTCGTATATATAGCCCATGAAACAACAAAATGTGTTCTTTTGACATTGGAACTGATTTTTTCCTCTTTGTTTTCCATCTTATAGAGTGCCTATCGAGTCTTCACTAACAGTACCTGCCTGAAGCACATGATTCTCAAGATCCGTAGAGATGCTCGTAATTTTGAGCGCTATCAGCACAACAGAGACCTGGTAAATTTTATCAACATGTTTGCTGATACCCGTCTGGAACTTCCTCGTGGCTGGGAGATAAAGACTGACCAACAGGGCAAGGTAAGAGCATCAGCAAAGCTAAGCACATTCTACACAGCACATCAGACTATGTGATCACTCAGGGTTCTTTCTTGACTCAAAATTGAGGATGGTTTGGTTTAAACAACACCAGCAGCAGGCAAAGTTATCCTAAGTGTAGAAAAAAAGCTTCAAGATCGATGTTGCAGATCGTAGTGGTGACTGTAGCTTTCCGTGGAGTATCACACATGGCCAGGGCAATGTTGGACTAACTGCAGCACCAAAATTAAGCCTGAGTTTAGATCTGTCATGACTGCATGGTTCTTTTCCTCTATCATGCTTTGCTTGGTGACTTCATGAACCATCACAAGTATTAAGACAGTGTTCCTTGGTAATTCTATGCTTTTCTGTCATGTTTATCTCATGGTCGTTGCATATTGTTTTTAGTCTTGTAGCATCGCATATTTTCTGTGAGCTGTTCTAGCTTAGTGTGAAAAGTCCCATTCCTCACAGATATCCTCCACAGACTGTGCCTAAAGAGGAGATTTCAGGAACCCAGTCACCAGTGCTTGACAATTTGGAATCGCCCAGTACTGTCAGTTTTGACTGCCTTCTTAAAAAAACAACCAACCAACCAAAAAAAAAACCATGATTTTTTTTTTATGTGTTACAGTCTTTCTTTGTTGACCACAACAGTCGTGCTACCACCTTCATAGATCCCAGGATCCCGCTGCAGAATGGTCGTCTCCCCAACCACCTGACGCACAGGCAGCACCTGCAGCGGCTGCGGAGCTACAGCGCTGGAGAGGTAACAGTGAGAGCTGTTGCAGCTCTTTGCTGTGCTCACAGCTCTTTTTGACATTAATCTCTGTAGAACTGCAGACTCTTCTTGTTTTGAAGTCTTTAAACAAATTATCTTGCAGATTTTTTATCTTCCAAAGGAAGTGAGGGGTCTTTTCTTTCTAAAGAGTTTTATCTAAGAGCCTTTGGGTTATGAAGGTTTATGTTTCGACCCTTTTCAGAATAGAAAAATAAATCAATAAAGCTAAATAACTGAAGTGAAATTATGACAAAATTAGTTTTTTAATTCATTGGGTTTTTTTTCATATCCTGGTTTTAGTAAAGACAGGTCCTTTTATAGCCTGATACTTTAGCAGCCTCAAATCTTTCTTCAATCCCCACAGTGACCATGTTCCCTGAAGAGATATACTCCTTAGCAAGTATAATAATACATGTTGATATATGCTTCCTTAATCTTCAAATCAGGCTAAACAATCTTTCTTATATTTCATGGGGCTGATTTTCACCAAAGAGCAGTACAGGCAGGATGATTGAAGCGTAAATCCCACTGCTGTATTAGGAGGCAAAAGTATCAGCAGTCACATTTTTCTTGTAGAAAATTCGTATGAGCAAGGATTTGTAAGGGAGTTACCATTAAAATTTACTGTACCAGATTCAATTTGAATCCTTCTTACTGCTTGAGATCAGAAGCTGGAGAGGGTGTGAGTTCAGTACCAAAGGCGGACCAGGCATAAGCAGCTTGGATGGGTTTTCCCCGTATGGGATGAAGGCAGCAAAATATTTTCTGCAGATTAAAGTATTTCTATCACATCTTCCCTCCAGTTAGCAATTTCCTGCAGTTTAGTGTTGCTAGTGTGTCTGAGTCAAGTAATGCAAATACAGAAGTCACCCTCACAATGATTCAGATCTGGGCCCCTGTTTGCCCACAGCTTGCTTATGTATTCACCGAGTGAGGGACAGAAACACCACTCAGTGACTCAGCAAACCCAACATTAAAAACACACTTTATTCTGGTAGTAGAGCTGGCAAGGAACAATTTGCAAGAAACCCAAAACATCGTTTACTGGAAGAGTCGAGTACTTTTGAATGATGACTGTGGGGAAAGGGCAAACTATTTGCCAAGTGCACCGGTTTGGCACGATTAGCCTAGCCCTGGCACAAGAAGGGAAAAGGGGCCCTGTCTGGTCAGCCAGAAGTGCTGGCGCCTTCCCCTCGCTCCTCGCAAGGACCAGGCACTATCCCATGCTGGATCCAGCCTCTGCAGCCTTGTCATAGGCACTAGCTTCCCATTTGGGGGCATCTGCTGGTCCACTGGAGGGATCCCATTGATTTCCACAAACTGCATCAGTGCTTGAAAACCCAGCATTTACAAGGAAAAAATTCAACCCTTTAAAACTCAGCCCGTGTATAAAGAGCTGTGTGTTCCACGCCATTTCTTCCAAGCATATTTGGACGTGCTTTTCTCCTATAAATCATGAATATGCTCAAGGCTTTGTCCTGGCCCTGTGTCAGCTCTCTGCGGTCTGGCGGGTTTCATTGCTGAGCAGGTGGTGTGGCCTCTGAAATCTGTCACCAGGACTGAATCTATCACCAGGACAGTGTGGAGGACCAAGAAAGACAACCACCAGCCTTTCACTTTACTTACAGGTGCCAAATGAGCATTTGGCACATGTCCAGTCATGATTCCTTGAGGGTGCCAGTGAGAGGAAGGAGCCAGGGTGCTGAGAAGCAGAGCACCCCCACGTGTTTCTTGCACTCAGAGCTGATGTCGTGATCCCAAAGTGACTCACCAGACGATTGTGTGGGCTTCCCAAGGGCTTTGTGACACTTCATGATCAACTGAGGAAATAGCAGATAAAAAACATAGGCCGATGAGTCCAAATTCCCCAGTTTCATGTGCTCATGATGTCTCTGAGCTGAGTCACATGCAGGAGTGATGGTGGTTGAAGGAACCTAATCTCAGTACTCAACTGTGGATAAAAAAAAAATAATAATAATAATTCGGAATTCTTAGAAATAGAAAGATCTATTTAATCTAGGAGAGGACAAGTATAACAAGAACTAAATGCTGCAAGTGTAAACCAAGCCAATTCAGCTGAAAGGAAGGCTGGGTGGAAGTTCAGTGAGAACTGTTAACCACAGGAACTAATGATTTTTCATGAGCATTGGGTCCCCATTCCTTCAGATCAAGAGTTCCAGACAAAGAAAATGTACTTTTCTGGATGATATACTGTGAACAAAACCAAATCCCATTTTAGTTACTCAAAAGCTCCCCTATTAGCGGTAGGGGGTGGATGGGTTGTGGTATGCGACTAGAGAACAGTGATCTCCTGCTCTCCATGCTGTAACATCCATGAATCTCCTAACTCCTTTTGGATCCTTAAAATGTGGCTTTGATTCCTGCCTAGTATAAACTGTGATGTTGAATGGACTACCTCTGCACCACTAATAAAGGTATCATTTTTCATATTTCAAATATACTTTTAAGTCTCCCTCATGAAATTGGATCATATAAATATGCTTTCTCAAATCTGGTGGTTTTCTTCATGATATTTAGAATTCCTTCTAAGTAGAGAATGAAGATAATGGTCCCACAGTTTTTGCAGACATTGGTCTGTTGTTTCAAGGGACTTTTATTTAAGTCTTACTTAGATATCAGCTATTAACGGACCAAGCAGAGATTCACAATGCCCCTTTTCCCCTTAATCTGTGTATTATGGACTACATTAAAAAAAAGCAATTTATGCATTCTTTTTATTAAGAAGGCATCCATTTTATAAATGACTATAAAATATTTGTGCTTTTCTTTATGTTGAAGTATTCTTCTAAATGAAGGACATCTGTTAAAGTTTTTGACATCCATCTATATAGATTCTTGATATTAAATAGTGATACATATAAAATTGACAAAACATTACAGATGCTTCGGTAGACACTTCCTTTTCCTTCAAGTATCTCATCAATCTTACAGATAAAAAGTCATTGATGCTGCTCTTGGTTACCTGATTTTTGAAAAAAACTGAGTTAACTCTATGGGCAACCGTATCCAAAGGACAGTATGTGCTTCGGCACCCTCTGCCCCTGCTGCAAACAAAGCAGGTGAGGAGCACATCCCATTCCCTATAGGAAAAATTCTTTCTGCAGTGGAAGTCACCAGGTTTGATGATGATATATAGATTTTTAAAGCCGTCCATCATGGAATGGCAGGGGACCCTGTAGAGCATGGAGATGCAGAAGTGCAGGGGTGTAGCAGTATCCAGTTTCCTTACTGCCTGACCAAAACCACGAGCAAGGAGCAGGACTCAAACAGGTAAGAACCTTTTAAATCAGCAATGATATAAAACCCACGAGAGGGTATTATGGCACTGAAAGCCTGCTGGTTTGTTCTCCACTCTGGTTGCAACATCCCAGGATCAATGGCAAAGCTGTTAAATTCTGTCTATAAATTTGTCAGATTGCCCTGCGCTAGATGAGCTGGGTCACTAAATCATTAGCAGGGTCACTTTTTTTTTTTAATTGGAAAATAATGTACTAATCTAAATTAAATGATTAAATTAGAATGTCAATGCAGACAAGGCCTTTGTAATTAAACAGTGAACTGGAGCAATCAATTAAACTGTAATAGCTAAAAGATTAGAAACAGGAATATTAGAAAAGTAGGGGTTAATTAGACAGCTGAGAATTTTTGTTGTTTAGAGATGTGAAAGCTTTAAGACCATGATCCAAACATAGTGTTAGTGATGCCTACTGATGGTGATGAAGAGAAATATACCACCTAACAGCATGGGATTTATTCTGCTAATCCAGGGGTGGGCAGAGCAGGGTCGTCAGCTGCCCACAGAAGAAAACACCTATTCCCAGATGGGCTTTTTGTCCGTTGTGGCAGTGACCTACGGTTTTCGTCTTGGGCCTCACCTTCATTCTTCTTCTGTCGCAGAAGATGGAAGCTGTGCAGGCCACGTGGTGCCCATTACAATGGCTGCCAGGGTCACAGGATTAGAGCTGCCCAAGCCTGTTCTGAGCTACAGTCCATAGTGTCCAAGCCCATGGTGATGTGACAAGGAGATGGAAGGAGAAGGGAGAAGATGTGGCAAAGCATAGAAAGGACTTGTGTCCTGCAAAGGCGTCGGAACAAGATATAGAGAGGAAGGCAGTGAGAGCAGAAAGGGTATACCTCAAACTTGTTGCTTAATGGGTTTAGGTGAAGTGTATTTGAGAGGGAGCATGGCTAGTTTCACAGCTAAGTCTTCCACTGCACCTGTGCAGCTTTTGACCAAAGTGTAGATGTAGTTACAATTGCACCAATCCCTGTGGCATTAGTTGCTCTTGCAGTTAGTACATTGCATATAACCTTCTTGGAAGTTCAGCCATAAACTGCTTGCTTTTAACGGCAAGGAGGGCTGGTCCAAGATTAGCAAGTCAGTCTGTTACACGCTGCAGGTTTGACTCTGTTCTCCCTGACACCGACAGAAGTCTCCTACAGTCGGCAGACACATACCAGCATAAAATATGGGCAACTGAAATCATAATTGCAGAACGCAGCAAAAGTTCACCCTGCACTTCCACAGCAAATTCTGTGTTTTCGGTTACGGTATATTTGATTAGAATCATTAGGACTTTTTGTTGTTTAATCTGTATATTGACTAGCATCAAGTGCATTGACTAGTATCTGGTTACATATAAACATTTTATATTTTGCATGTTCCAAAGCAACATACCAGTCACATTTAGCTTCTTGGGTTTCATTTCTGTCCAGTTGGAAACCCTGGCGTTTAGCTGTAGCACTGGAAAAGGGTTGGCACTGTTTGCCTTGGATGCAAAGCTGAGCATTTAAAATATTGGAGAATGGGCAATTTCTTCCTGAGGGGAGTTGCCAAGTCCTACAATTTGTTCAATGAGAAAGAAGCAGACATCAGCCCAGCAGAGTGGCAATAAGAGGTTATACACATCTTGTCCTGATATACCTTACTTGCATTGATATGGGCTCTTTTGGCTTCACTATGGCCATATCCTTAAGGAACATATATATGCGAGAAGTGAGTTCCCCTAGGATTGCAGAACTCCACCCAGCAAGTGATAACTTACTGAAGATAGGTTGCCAGACCTCATTATATGTCTCTTATTATCCTCCCATCTGAGCGTTTTCCCATTCTTTAAAGTAGCTCTCTGACTTCGGTAGTAGTCAGAGATTTCTTTCTTACTGCTCTTTTTATCTATATTTAAGATCATGTTCTTTTTTTCAGTGTATATACTTTAACTTCTAATTGGGTAATGCAAGTTAGGCAACCCCTCCTCTCTGGGATAATACAGGCCTATTCTTTGCTGTCATCTTCATAGGTATATCTTTACTATGTTACTCTAATATCAAATTTCCCTTCATCGATGCTGAGTGAACATGATGCAGCTCTTTTTTTTGGGGGGGGCGGGATTTTTTTTTTTCAAATTAATATTACTGTAAAATCCTTGAAGTAAACAGAGTCCAGCTGGAACAAGGTATATTATAGAATTTTTATTTCATTGAACCAGAGAACTTTGTCGCCATAAGCCCTGTGTTAACCCACATGTACTTCTGGATTCATGGCAGTATAGGAGAGGTGTAATAGCTATGGATAATTGCATCTCTGCATTTGGAAGCACAGCATTACCTGCCTTTTTTAAGCTGACTGAAGCATAAAGCTGTAATTTCTGTGTAAGATTTCTGTCCATCTGTCAGTCAGCATCACAAAACATCCTGAAAGTCACAAAAGATCAGAAAACTTTTTTTATTGACTCACATGCTGCTGATGGCCAGTTTTTTCATTTTGCTCCTTTCCTCCTCTGTTCCAGGCCTCCGAAGTCTCGCGAAACAGAGGAGTGACTCTCCTAGCCAGACCAGGCAATAGTCTCGTAACAGCTATTCGAAACCAGCACCATCAGGAGGCACTACCTCTGGGTAAGGCACCTTTGGGTTTTCTTCTGGAAGCAGCGCTCGCAAAGATGAGCACTAGGACCGCTCATCAACCTCATCTGCTGCTTCCTATTGCTCTGTGCCTTGCCAGCAGTGCCAGCACAATCACCATGGAGTCCAGAAGGGAAGAAATCCTCTGTGTTTTTTCTTTTTCCCTTTACAGCTTACAATGACAAGATTGTTGCTTTTCTACGCCAACCCAACATTTTTGAGATGCTGCAGGAGCGTCAGCCCAGCTTGGCCAGAAATCATGCGCTCAGGTAGTCTTT